AAGTAGGATGATTGCTTTCAGAAAAATAGTTACATTTACTTTTTGATCCAGGTGCTCTGACATAATTTCAGGACTTAATTTCTTATCTGTCAAGAAGGCAAAATCTCTTTGTGCCCTGGGAATCTTCCGCAGGCAGGCTTCTTTGTCTTCCCTGATTTCTTTCCAGATGTCAGAGAAGTCATTTGTGCTGTTGGCAGCTTCTTGTGCTATCTGTAGCGGTGGTGTTTTTCTTTTTTTTTTCAACAACACACAGAGCAACTATAGAGGAAAAAACCCAACCAAACAACCCAACAACACAACTCTTATTTTCGTAAGACCAGAAGTAAAATCCCTGTAACAGGAACTCAGTGTGCATTCTCTGTGAAACATGCTGCCTCACAAAATGGCAGCAGATCAACAGACAGGCAAACACATTAGTGTTTATTTGGCATCGTGAACAGATTCTTTTGTAATTCTTTGAATTTGGATTTTCAGTCTTTCTTTGAATTTTCAGCCCTGGTGTTTCCTATAGTGTGTTATAGCAGTGTCAGGCAAAGGGTAAAAGAGAACGTGGACTAGTACAGAAAGTATGTAGAAATATTTTGGAAGTAATAAATACACAACCATGAAAAAAGGATTTGGTTATCTTCATTGGTATTATTAGTATGGAATCTTCTCAAATGTTCTGTGTAATTCTTTGCCACATTTCTCTAAGGTAGAGGTGAATTACCCTCTTCCTTATCAGTGTGGCCCAGAGACCCCGAGTCATAGCCAGAAGTAGAGTTTTTATGTCCCCAGTGGAGTTAAGGAGCCTTAGCCCTAAACTCTTATTTATTTTACATGTAGCTGCTCCGCTATTCCAAAAGGCTCAGTTGGCACCCCACGTTTTCGTCTGCAGGTTCGCCAAACTTTTAAAGATTGTCAAACTTCTAAAGATGTGCCTCTTCATGTCTAGAATTTTCTCAGCATTTTGGGGCATTTCTTCTCCAAAGCAGCTATACACTAATCATGTAGATGCTGTTTGGTGCTAATGAAGTTTCAGAAGGATGCTTGAGGAAGTTTAGGTTTGTAATTTGAATTTCAAATTTTGTGGGGGCAAGGGTTGTAGCAATCTGAGTGACTCAAGGATATTCCTAGAATGACAAAGTTTTCCATAGACAGTTCTAAAAGTTGACAAACGAAACTGGATTAAGATTTTTTTTTTTAATGTAAATGACAAACATCCTCTCTCTTATCTTTCCTCTTCATCTGATCTTTTAAATTTAGACTGCTCTTTATGACACTCAGCCAACTTGCTCCTCTGGAATGTTTCATGGAGGTCTCTTACCTCTGAATTCAGGCAATTGGCAAGAATCTGGGTGTCAGAGAGTGTCGGGGCAGTGGATCTCTATTTGCAGTGCTGCAAGGCTGAATCCCTGTACTCTAGTAATGTAGCTAGAATGCTGGTAGCAAAATACAAAAATTAAAATTATGTTATGCCTAAACCATATGGCTTTACTGTTCCTTGAGAAAACTAGGAATTGAAGGTAAGTTAAGGGAAACTCTGGAATGTACTTGAAAAGCTTTAGGAAAGTTGAGGATCACTGTCTAGGTGACAAAGGTCTGGAATCCTGGTGTGCACAGAGATACGTGACATTCTCTGTGCTTGATGATGTGCTAAGAAACATCTACACTAATATAGATGAATCTTGAAGTAACCTCAACAAGATGTGCAGTATACTCCAGGAAACAAAAGTGAGTAATGATTTACTCACACGTGTGCATGACAAATGAAATTGCATTAAGCTGATTTTTTGCTTTGTTGTTTTTTTTAATTTTTTTAAAATTTTTTTTATAAGGATGGGAATCAAGTATGCCAATTGATTGCTACAATTGTTTGCTCAGTCCAGGAGCAGGGGCTATTCAGCTGTGTCCTTGAAGTTTGTAATACTTTGCTCCTTCATGTGATGCAATGCCTCAAGAATGAGTCTGGACTTTGAACAGCAGACTTGAAGTTATGGTAGAACTTTTAGAAACCACTCAGTGCTATTTCAGAGGAGTTTCTGACTTTTTTGTGTGTCTGGTGCTTTAGTGAATCCTAAATTGGCCGAGATGTCTGTTTTACTTTTCTTTCATTTCTTTACAGGTGTGTTTTTTCTAGGATTAGTAATAGTTTATGTGGTTTACCTCCAAAAGCTTCTATAAACTTTTTTCTCTTAGCTCAGCAGCTGTCACCTCCTGAGTAGTTTCTGGGTATCCTTATATTAAGGTCTGTTATTTCCATGTCAGGGTCCTCCTTAAAGCTGTGTCTACAAAACCTGCTTTTTCTGTGTTTACTAATTTTTGAAGAAATGTTCTTGGTTGTTCTCAGTTGGTGTTCAGATAATTCTGGAGTGTTTCGGTTAGTCATCTCTCCTTCAGATCTACTTTGTGTTCATACAAGTTCAGCGATACCTGTCTTTCCATAGTTACAGTGCTGGATTAAGGTTATTTTACACTAACAAAAGCAATTAGTTCTCCGTCCTTCTGCCTGATGACATCTGTCTGTTCTCTCTGGCAAAGTCCCAGAGCAGAGGTATTGTGTGTATGGAGTCAGCGGTGTCTCTGCATTCCAGGAAGGGAGTTGACAGGGGATTTGACATCATGCAAACCTGGTTTTCATCATTGCTTTGCATTGCTCACTCCACAGTGGGTGAAGAACACCACGGATGGGTCTTGGTGGCAGGTGGAAGGGGGTAGATACCTCCATCCCTGCCTGCACACCCCTGAATTCTCCTACCCCTCTCTTCTAGAAGGTGTGAGATTTTTCCAGTTACTTTGGGATATCTGTGGCTTTGCAGGGCTCTCATATAAGTACCCTGAAAGGTTAAAATGGTCACAACCACAGAGTTGTGGGACATAGCGTTATGATTTTTTCAGGAAGCAAATCTGCATTGATGGGAACAAGGGGTGGCAAATCTTTAGGAAAAACTGGCATCGTGACTACACTACCCCTGCAGTATGAGTACAGCAACATAACATATGGGCTTGCACCAAGCTGCTGGAAGGGGCTGAAATCATCCTATACCTCCCTACCTTAATAAGTAACTTGTGTCTGGGTTCTGCAAGAGTTCGGATTTTCCTGGATTCAGTTTCTGATAACCTCTGCAGATGTGGGGTCTGGGACAGTGCTGCTTGGACAACTCTTGTTTACTGCAGCTGATGTATACTCTTCTTGACCTTGTGACTCTCAGCTAGTGTCTTGAATCACTCGAGAATAACTAACGCCCCAGCTCCCAGATCGTTTTCTGTTTTTGCCTTCAGCCAACTCCATGTTCACCTTCCTTCATAGTTACAGGAAATGAAGATCTTCTGGGATAACATTAAGTGTGGGTGAGCAGTCTGTTTGGTCTATGGGGAAATAATGTGAACAGAGAGAGATTACAGTCAGTAAAAATAGACATGAGTTTCAGAGGTAGTTCTCATGTGTTTCCCCCCCTCCCCACTCAATTCTACGTGATTTTTTTTCATCTCGGTTCTAAAGTATATTTAATACCGTTGGCTGGTTTAGTGAAAACTTCCAAAACTGAATTTAGAGTCATACAGTTAAACAGGCTTTCTTACTCTGTGTGGCATTGGTTGTGCACTGTATGGGCGATGCGCACAGTAAATTTACCATAACCCCTGTGGATATTCATAGCACGAAAAGATATAAAGGGCTGTCGTCCACCAACAGTTAACTGCTGCAAATGAATTAATGGCATTTTTTTGCCATCAATAAAACATTAGAAAGAAAGCATAAATAGTCAGGAAAAAGAGGGGGTTTAAAGTAGAAAATGTACATCACTGTAGAGAGTGATATGAAACATACAGTGTTCTGGCGATATTCCAGACTTGATTCTGTTTATCTCCTGGATAACTAGATTTGTCTCTTCAGTAATAAAAATGTGTAATGCTAGTTACATAGTCCCCTTCAGCAGAGAAAGGATCATTGCTTGGGAATGAAAATGTTTAAGTCCCAGCAGAGAGAAAAAAAGGGATGCTGTGACTGCTATCCTTCCACACAGGGGTTATTTATTGCCTCTTTTATGGAATTTGTACCATGCCAGAATTTAGATGAGTTCGTGTACAGTGTACAATGCACAGTGACTTGGAGCTAAATGGTTATGAAAGACATGACATTTGTGCATTTGTGGTGCCAGTTTTTAATGACTAAAGAATATGTGTGTCTGTGTGAAGACTTGTCAGTGTAAGATTTTAGTCTACAGTGTGTAGATATTTTCAGAACATACCCAGGTCTTTTTAATGGAATGAATTAATAAAAAATAATTATATCCTTTGTACCTGATATGTGATTTATTTCTTTTGGAATGACTTATTGTACATCTCTTCTTGTTTCCAGTTTTGAATGTGAAATATAAGAAAACTTCTTTTTTTTTTTTTTTTTTTTTGCTATTTTATTAGTGGTATTACTAACTTCTCATTTGATCCCCAAGGGTGAGGTGTTGGGGAGGGAAGAGTGAACATTTTCATTAAGCAAAACCAGGTGCAGTTGACTGTTATTTAAGCAAATTTATTTTACAGTAGGTTTGATTATTAATACATCAGAAATCTTACTTGTGGTTACTATGGTAAAAGTTACATTTCATCATAGTATCTCCTGGCTATTTTTATTTTAGAAATTAGTGGCTTATTTTGGCTTTGACTTGTAATTAGTAAATTCCTAGAGCTAGATTTTGAAAATTACTCATTTTGCTCTTTCTTGATTGTCATATGAGTGCAGGGTGGAAGTGGTACTTCAGAGCACGTTTCTCAACTTCATTAATATTTCACTGTTTAACTCTTTTTAACACTATGTAGATAGGGTTTTATATCATGTTAGGATAACAGGCGTGCTAAATGCTTTATAAATAAAATACTTGGTTTAGATTCCAAATAATATTTTGATATGACTCTGTATCCAAACGTAAGAAATTTAGGAAACAAATTAAAAGCATAAAATGCCAGAGGTTGTTCAAGTCTTCCTGAAATAACTTCTTCCTTATTTGTTTTGTTTCATGCAGGCTTTCCTTCACCGAATGATTCAATGTGCTACAGCCAAAGTGGATAAAAATGTCACAGAAGAGACAGTTAAGGTTAGTCTCCTAATTGCATATTTATTCTGTTTTGTATCTCATGTTTTATTTACGTATGTTTTATTCTTTTGCAGATGTTGTTTTCAAATATTGAAGATATTCTTGCAGTTCACAAAAACTTCCTGTCTCTGGTGGAGGAGTGCTTACAACCAGAACCTAATGCGCAACATGAAGTTGGAACCTGCTTTCTTCATTATGTACGCTATCTTTTATTACAGGCTTATTTCACTTTTTTACCTTATTAATTGTCTTTATTAATTACTGTCATGATGATGAGTGTACATAGTCATGAGGACAAAATATGACTTGCATAATGTAGAGTACTTTGAGGTCATCTCTTGGTTACTGTCATTTGTAACAAAAAGAACGGAGGAGAATGAAGAAGGAACATATCAAATAGGCAAACTTTTATTCTTTCATCATTTCTATATTCACCAAATTAACCCAGGCTGACAAACTGAGCCCTTCAGCATGGGTGAGGCCGGTGCCTATATATGAGATGGAGATACAAGGATCAGGGTTGCATGAAACAGCAAAAGTAATAATATGCTTTATTTTTATTCCCCTTTGATGCCAGGCAAAAATGTGAATGTTTAACAAAGAATTGATTATGCTGGGTAAAATATCTCCATGGTTCTGGTCTGTGAAGATGTTTTACTTCTCATAACTGCAGTACCTCCACAAGTATGTTTGTATGTCCTGTAGTACTTGTTTTCTAGGAGTATTATTTTTCCTGTTGGAGCAAAACAAGGATGTCAGTGTTACAGAGCTGTGCAAAATCAGGACAAGTTAGTTTTCTTTCAGTTGTAGGCCTAAGAAAAAGTCTAGGCTGCATTGTTATGTCTGGTTAGAGTCCCATTTGTTTGCTAGGTCTTTGTTTATTCATTGTGGGAGGAGAAAATTATTAATGGTTTGTGGAAATATTTTATAGAAGTTGAGTAACATCAGTTTTTGACTCTGCAGAAGTACAGATCATATTTGCAATCAAGTGTTTGCAGACAAAATAGGTAATGATGTCAGAAAATAAGCCACTCGTGCATTTTCTTCCTGGTTTTTTTTTTATTCTGTGTTTTTTGCGATAGTCCAGCCTCTGAAATTTTTCAGCAAAACCTTATGAAGTTCAGCAAAGACAAATGTAAAGTCTTGCACCTGGGAAAACATAATTCAGGAGCGCAGCACAGCCTGGGATCTACCCAGCTGGGGACCAGCTCTGTGGAGAGGGACCTGGGGGTCCTGGTGGACCAGAAGCTCAATATGAGTGAGCAGTGTGCTGCTGCGTCAAAGAAAGCCAACAGGATGCTGGGGTGCATCAACAAGGGCATCACCAGCAGGGATAAAGAAGTCATTATCCTACTCTGCTCAGTGCTTGTCAGGCCACACCTGGAATACTGTGTTCAATATTGGTCCCTGCTGTACAAAAGAGATGTGAACAGGCTGGGGTGGGTGTGTCCAGAGAAGGCCCACCAAGATGATCAAAGGCCTGGAAAACCTGCCATATGAGGAAAGGCTGAGAGAACTGGGTTTGTTCAGCCTTAACACCTTTGCGCCGTGTTCCAGTATTTAAAGCGTGGCTACAAAGAAGCTGAAGATTCCTCCTTTAAAAGGAGCCACGTGGAAATGGCGAGGAGTAATGGCTACAAGTTACTCCTGGGGAGATTCTGATTGGACACGGGGCAAATTTTTCACAATGAGAACAATCAGCCATTGGAATAATCTCCCCAGGGAAGTGGTGGATTCCCCAATATTGTACGCTTTTAAGATTTTAGTGCCAGGCCATCTTGTCTATACAATGCTTTTGGCAAGAAAGGTTGGACCAGATGATCCTTGCGGTCCCTTCCAATCTGGTATTCTATAATTGAAATTCCCAAGTGATGCCTTCCAGACTGTTCATAATTCTAATTTGAGGCTGACCCTCAAATAATAAATGTAGGAGGAAGAGCTGATCTTCCAAAATGAAGACTATATTAGCTATTCAGCTTTGAAAAGTGTTCATTCCATGTTTTACTAATTAAAAAAAAAATGGCAAGTGAAGAACAATGTATTTCTTTGTTTCTGCAGAAAGAGAAATTCCGTATCTATGATGAATACTGCAGTAACCACGAGAAGGCACAGAAAGTTCTGCTTGACCTTAACAAAATAAGAACAGTGAGGACGTTTCTTTTGGTAAATAAACTTTGAACTGGTGTTCTAACTTAATATTTTTTGACTGAGCAGTGAATTGTTAGCACTGTCACCTCTACCATGTAACAGCTACAAGCACACCTGCAAGCAGTTAGCAGGCAGTTTCAGCTGGTTGTGGAATGAGTTGTGTACATGATATTTTCACTGCTGCACTTGGATCTGTGTGTAATACAGCATTAAGCACTGTGCCTTGAACTTGCTGGCCAAGAGGCAAGAGTTTAAATCCAGCCGTGCCCGTAGAAAGAAAAAAAGGTAGGATAAGATATAAAAAGAGGGTTTTTTTTTAAAGGAAGTTGAAGGACTTGTCAGAAATTCTGAAGAGAAGGTCCACATTCTGGTACTGCAGCCACGGCTGTGCCAGACAGAAAGATGTTTTGTTATGGATTATGGAGTAGCCATCCTGATCTTAGATGCTGACTTAATCTGAGGTCAAAAGACACAGCAACACAATTAGTCTTTCACTTTACAAGACAAATAAGGAGGGGGTTTAAAATGTTTAGTATTACAGTCCTCGTGATTTTCCCACAGCAAAACCAGTTTCCATGTAAATACTGAGTTTCCCAATAGTTGACATTAATTGTTAAAAGAAAGATTCAGTGTGGAATTATTTTTGTGTTTTCCTTAATGGTGTCCTGTGATAACAACGTCAGCTTTGAAATATGGGGCCTACTATGTTGGAACTTAAATGCCTGAGAAGGTGCCCTCAGGTACAATACCAAATTTCAGAGTGATCAGATCCGGTTATTGCATTTTAGGACTGGAGAGCAAATGACACTATCAGCAAAGCATCACATATATGATTAAAAAAAGAAGATGATGACAATGCTGGTGGTATCACAAGTTTTATTTAGTTTTATGAATTATTTTTAGTATGTAGTAGGCTTTCACTACTGCTGTTGACTGAGTTCTTGGTGAAGTTGTCTTGTTGCAGCTCACTAAATTTTTGAAAGATACTGGATCTGACTCTCTGAGCAGCATAGCTGGACTCAAGAAGAAGGGGTGAATGCTGACTACAGAGACAAAAAGCAAAATACTCCAGGGAAAGATTGCGAAGAGCTTTTTTTGTGAGAAAGCAAGCCAAGTGTGCAGTTGAGGCAGTTCGTGATGTGTCAGTGTCATGTACTCCTGGCGCATGCACAGGGCTTCCACAACTGCTTTAGGTTCCTCATAGATTCAGGGCATGTCTGTAGAGTAAGTGGCAGCACTCTAACATAGAGAACAGGAGGTCTGACTGTTTGATTTGAAAGTGAAATTGAAGCCTTCTAGTCAGACAGAACAACAGTTCAGGCCACTAGAGATGTGATTATCTATAAATAATTGGGAGCTGGAACCAAACTTTTGAGCCTTTAAGTATAGAGACAATCGTTATATAAACCTAGAGTCTGCATTGCCATTATCTTGCTCAGTCTTTATCAGTGAAGCTTTTTTGTTGGCAGGCTAAGTGAGATCCTTTAGGATAAGAGATCCTTTAAGGTAATACAGAAGCTGGTTAACCATGAGCACAAAGCAGAGACTTAAGAGTGGGTGTAGAGATCCCCCTAGCAGCACTGGTTATGGGGTATGTGCGCTGTGAGTTACGTGCTGAGCAGAGCGACCACCCGGTTGTGTAGCCTCTGTTCCATCAACAATGTGTCTGCATTCAGATTTGTGGCCTGCGTCAACATACCATCTGGCTGTGTTAAACTACTTTTGTTTAGTGTTCTCAGTTTAGACATCTTGCTCTTTGAAGCTGTAGATTATCTCATACCATTGCATCACAATTCCTTCTGATCTCTCCATAAAATAATTTCCATCATTACTTTAGGTCTTTATGTACTTACACTTTAATTCCAGCAATTTCAAATATTTGCTGTGATGTCCCTCACATACTTCCTTATCTCAAACAGCCCTTATTCTTCTTCTCTCTCTCTCTCTCTCTCTCTCTCTCTCTGAGCTGCTTTTTCATGGATGCTTCCACCCAATAACTCATGCAATCTCTGCTTCCATAGTTGGATGTCTTGTCAAAACTCACGTATTCTTTAGCCCAAGAGTAAGGATATTTTATTCATTGCACATCACATTTAAATATAGAAGCATGTAAACAGAAGACTTTTGTGTGTGTGTATTAGGATGGCCATATTGAAACTTTTCAAAGCATCTTTGATGCTACTTACTGTCATGAACACACCTTGTGGAACCAACATCACCTATAGTGGTCACCCTGAATTAATTTTATTTTTGTTCATTGAATATTTCTAGCATTTTATTTACTGTATTTTATTTTTCAACTTTAAAAAAAGGCCACTCTTAATCAGACTGGATGAAGAGGATACCTAGGGGAGATGCCTGCATAACACCATTGCAGCTTCCTTGTCACGTATGATCGTCAATGTACCTGCCTATGCATGTATTCAAGCCTATTCTTTTGGCAGTCCGGCAAACCTCCCTCATCTCATACTTAACATACATGTATATCATTTTTATAGAGCTTAGCCAATATTGCTGTGTGCATATGCCCTTGTCTTTATTTCTGATAATTTTCTGAGGATTTTTTAGTGATTTCTGAAACTGTTCACACTCTAGAATTGCATGCTCCTTGGAGGACGCAAGAACACAGATGTACCATTGGAAGGATATCTAGTAACACCGATACAGAGAATATGCAAGTATCCCCTTCTTTTGAAGGTACTTAAAAGATTTTTATCTAGGACATTATACTTCTATATAAAACTGGTTGCTAAGCATATTTCCAAACTGCAGGAACAATCTCTCTACACAGTGAATAATCTCTTTATGAGATACTGGACCCAGACTTGCTCTCATTAAAGCCAGTGGCAAGTCTTCTGACATCAGTATTAAAAGGACTGAGGAGTTTGGCTGGGTCAAGATGATTAGCTCCCTTCTGCATCTAGTCGTAAGGTTGCCTCTCCATTGTTGAACGGAAGTGAGCCAATTAAGGGAGTTTAATGAGACTGATTTCAGCTGGGTTTGACCATGTCCTTGCTTAAAATGCTTGGTTTTGTTAGTGACATGCTTTGATGATTCTAATTTACCATCACCAAACTGTAAATGAAAAATATTTATGAAAATGAGTTGTAAGAAAAACTTTAGAGTAACAGTAAGGTGCTGTAGATGATTCTGTGCACATTTATATGTTTATTTTTATCTTACTGTTACAACTTAAAACTTAATGAAAAATGTTAAATGTGCTGATAAACATTAGATATTCAAACCTCTGAGTTACTGAAATTTTTTGCATATTAGGAAATAAAAGAATACCTTCATCAGGAAAGTAAATATTTAAAACAAATTTATGCTTAACAAAGTAAGGTTTAATACTGTTATATTGTTTCAAACTGTGGGAGAAAAGCCAAAGCAGATCCTGCTCTAGAAGCTACTTGAAACTTGATTATTGGACAGTATTTTTCATGGTGCATGTGCAAGTTTAGATCTGAAACATTGCCAATTATGAGGCATATGCATTTCATTGCACTGACATAAAAGCTTAAAAGTAAACATGTTAAAATAAAGGTTTTTAAAACAAGTTAAAGAATATAATTGCAATGAGGTTTGAGTCATACTAGATATCTGTGGTTTTACAGTTCCCTTGGCCTATTTTAAAATTATTTTTGTCTTCTATTTTTTGAATGAAAGATCTACAAGCAAAACAAGGGAAAATGACTAATTAATTACTTCAGGGATGCATTGAAATGAATATATCTATGTTAAATTTAAATACAGGGTGTGGTGGCAGCGGGCATAGGGCTCCAGGAGGAATGTACCCACGCCTCAGTCAGGGTGTGCACTGAAGGCTGTCCATAGTCGGTCCAGCAGTCAATGGGTATTTGGTAGTTTGAGATGGGAAATCTCAAATGAATACTGGCAACTCTGCTTTTGTTTTTTGTATGGCTCCCATTACCAGTAACCATCTGACATCAGTGAGTCACCTAAGCTATTGTTCAGTGCTCTGGTGTATTGCACTAGGTTAAACAATACTGTGGAGCTAAAGGAACATGGTTTTTGCCCTGAGCTGCAGGAAAGGCAGGTGTTAATTTTGACATCAGTAAACTAACATTTTAAAGCAGAGTTGTTATCCTTGCTATTGAACAGTTCCATCTTGTGGAATATAAAAAACCACACCCTTCCCCCCCAAAAAAAACCCCAAAGCTCAACAAGAAGAAACATTGTTGGGGGGAGAAAGTAGCTGAAATGCAAACTTTTTCCTATGTAGTGATTATTTTTATTGTTAGTAATTTATTTCTCTGCGTTTTAGTGTCCTACTAGGGCACAATGCTGGAGGGTTTATTACTTTTCCACCTAGTAAAAGAGAAGTGTGGCTACTTTTTGATTTTGTATCCTAGTCAATTTAAGCCTCCTGTAATGTACATTTAGACATCAAAGACAGGTTTCTTTTTTTCTTTTTTTCTTTTTTTTTTTTTTTTTTTTTTTTTTTTTAAATGTTTAAATAGGAGTTACTGAAGCGGACTCCAAGGAAGCACAGTGACTATGCGGCACTAATGGAAGCCCTCCAGGCCATGAAAGCTGTCTGTTCCAACATAAATGAGGCCAAGAGACAAATGGAAAAATTAGAGTTTTTGGAAGAATGGCAGTCTCATGTTGAAGGATGGGAGGTACTGTCACAAGATTTGTCACTTTCTATATTGAGGAGGGAGTATCAGTTTTCAACGAGCATGTATTGCACTGTTCTTGTGATCCTGAGGTACTGTCAACTCCTCAATTCTGTGAAGTCACAGCTTTTATTTGGGATCTACTCTGTAAATTAAGGGTTGTCCATGACTGAGCACCACTGGATGAAATAGCAGCCTTCCAGAAAAGAGAGCAAATGTTCAGTGTTTGACTTACAGTATTGATCATTTACAACAACATGTATGCATACACACATACACATCTATAAATCCTAATTTAACTGCTGCCCTGATTTTACTGCTGTCAGTGCCTGCCTAACAGCATTTTGTCTGGTTGAAAAAAATTTTGATCATTTATTATTGATTAAGCACTCAGCCCATTAGTTTTTGTCATCTTGTAGGTAGTCCCTTACTATTGGCTGAGCTAAACTAACATAAATGTGTTCAATAGAATCTGTGTAACATCATTTTTTTTTTTATAGTTTGCAAATGGAGGAGCTTTAATGCTTTAGTTTTGTGAAGAAGCCATAGGTGTGCTCCTGAGTTAGAGTTTTCAGTAGTAACCAGAAGATCTTTCCCCTAGATAACAAAAAGATCAAGTAGTTGTAGCACCAAAATCTTCCTTTTGTATTATTTTGAGCACTATAATTATTTTATACAGAAAGATAGATGTAGATACAGGTGTATCTTTAAATTGCCTTGGGTGTTTTGTATTGAAATGTCTGAGCTGCCTGCACTGAGGTGAAGTCCCAGTAAAACAAACACAAAACAAGTAATATAAACATTTTTTTTAAAAAAATCGGTTTTGAATATAATACACAGGGTTTTTTAGGACATGAATTTCAACATGGAAGTAGTTCTTTGATTTTTTTGAATACTTGACTCAGATGTGCTACTTCTCTTCCTGAGATTGCTGCTGAAGAACACAGAGGAAGAGATTTCATACCTTTAAGCTTTGTGAAAGGCTTGCTGTCTGGAAAAAGTAACAAGAAAAACGTATTTTTTGCACATTAGTCTGGTAGACTGAGACCTGATCTTTCAGCTCTGTAGTAGGAAATGGCCTTTGTATGGTGCAGAGAAAAGAAAAGGTTAGGGACACTGGTGTGACACTGAATCAGAGAAAGCTTTGAGATAGACCTGCCTGAACTTTAACCAAGCACAGTTTCCCAAGAAGTCTGACAACTAAAAATTAGAATATTGACTACAAGAAGCAACTTTTAAGTAGATAGTTACAGTAGTAGAGAAAATATGAGCAACAAAGAATAGTTTCTACACAGGTCTGTTCCTTCCCTACATCTCCTGCTGTTACCACACCTGCTGTTCCTTGAACTTGCTCTTCCTAAGGATGTGCTCTGCTTCTGCAACAGTGGATTCAGTCTCCCCCTGCCTTCCAGAAGGGATCAGCAGAACAAGCCACTCTCCGAAAGCAGCATAAAAACTACACTGAACAAAGAAGTCCTTAAGTACTGCCCATGGCACTGCAAAATTATTTCCTGTCTGCTCCACGTGAGATCTCCAGATCTGTGGACTTACACAAACCTCTGGTTTGTTGTTAATTGGGTAGTGTGGCAGGATTAGATTCATTCTACATGTGGATTAAGCAACTAATTTTACTTTAATCAAAATTCTTCCTCTTTCTGCAGTGCATTGTGGGATTTGAAATGTAACATTTAAGGTGTTTTTCCTGTGTAGCAGCAAGAACTGCTCTTCCATTTTTGTAATTGGGGTAGGTATAATTCAGAGCAGAGAAATCCTCTTATGCCAGAGTTCAGGGCACTGTAGTTTTTTGGTACAGACTGTCACTATAATACATTCCACAAAAATTCACTGTGCCTCAAGAGAAGGAATCGGGGGTTGGACTAGGTGACGTTTAGGTGTCCCTTCCAACCCAAAACATTCTATGATTCTATGAATTTTAGCTAGTACAAAAGCTATATATTTGCTGTTCTGTATTCAGACAAACCTTTCTGCATTTAGGTGTAATCCTCAATCTCAAATAAAAAAAAAAAGCCATTAAAGATAAATGACAGAGAATGTGTACTCATGCCATGATATTGTTCGTAGGATTTTCAGGAAGAAAGGACTACTTAGATAAAGTAAACCTCTAAATGTTGTAATTGAGAGGAGGTCTATTTGACCTAACACTTACCAGAAGAAGCAATGTTGTTTAGACTTGGTGAAAATAAGTTCCTTTCTGTAATTAGCTTGAATTTACTGTCATCAGCAATAACTTGGAAAGATTAGTGTATGTAAATATTAAAATACATTAGACATGCTTGTGCAATAACTTCATGATAGAAGCAATGGCAGGTTAAGTGCTTGTGTTGCTGAATATTTTATGGCAAGGAAATTTGTTAAATAATCCTTATTGCCTATCACTGACTTTACTCCTATTATTTGCAGCTTTTCAATTAAGTTTTCTACTGCACCATAGTGATTAAAATTCTCCTACGTGCTTTCAGTGCCTGAGTCTTCTAGATATTTGTCAAATCCATCTTAATGATCACACTCAAGTATAAAGTTACAGTATTATCTGCATTATTAGTCATCTAAGTTGGTTAAGAACTGACCTCAAAGCTCTAACCCTGGAAAGGGAACCCACTTTCCTGCATTGTTTCTTCTGTATCCTTAGTAAGATATACAGTAGTAAATAGATTTGCTGTTGGAAATACCTTAAGTAGCAAAGGTAACAATATGGACAGAAGCATGCGAAACATAGACTTTTTCTCTCTGTGGTCAGAATGTGTGCTGTGAACGGTAACATGGTAATTTCCTTCCAGCCTTGGATTATTTTTTTT